TCGACTGTTACCCACCCCGGACCGTTGCCGAAACGATTCGTATCCTGGTTATACGCAGCGAAATGCTTTGGGCACGCCAGAGCTCCTTGACTTTGAATGCCCATCGTACCGGCGACCGCCATACGGGCTGTCAGCCATGGGTCTTCGGACAGAGTTTCGGCAGCGCGAGCCCACAACGGAGAGCGAAGAATGTTGATGGTAGGCGCAAGGACGATATTGCGGCCTTTGCCCATGTGCTCTTGTGCGAGTGCCTGGCCAAACTCATACTGTATCGATGTGTCCCAGGAGCTTGCCGCGACAACTGGAGCTGGGAAAGCGGTCACATTATCGAGCGAGTTGCCGACACCGGCAGGCCCATCGCCCATGCAAATGTCGGGAATGCCGAGAGATGAGTTTCCTTGAATGTGCCCGATGCAGGCGTTGACGCCGGTTCCGTTATCTGTCAGCTGCGGGTTAATCAGCATGAGCTTTCTCACTTTTCATGGGTAATATGGAGTTGAGAGTCTGACTTCACTATCGCCTTGAACCATGGCATGCTTTTGGGTGTCATTGAGCTGGGCGATGAAAGACAGGAGACGCTCCTCGTAAGGCAGGGTCTTGTCGAGCCAGGGGTGGACCGCGGAGGCAGGTAATGCCAATGAGGCTATCCAAAATGCAGAGTTTACTCTCATCTTCATTCGCGTACACAACTCATGAGGGAGGATGAATCAACGAGAATCCCGCGAAAACATTCACCGGCGTCGGTACACTTTCATACTTGAGAGCTCTTGCAGGTCCCTTCGCCGTGGCTCCATCTCCCGTCTTATCGCGTTACATCGCATATCATCACTTGATCAGCTTCTTTCAAGCTTGTTCAGATACCTAGCCCTGCATCGGTCATTAAGGGATGGTCTGGGGCAGTAGTAGAAGGCCGAGGTAAGTATCTTCCTTTACTTTTGAATGCCGGCGAAGAAGCAACTTCACCGATAAGCCGGTATCGTAGTGAAGATACTCTGGAGATTGCAGTGCGGGGTACATAACTAGCAGTTAAGAGAACGCGGAGATGACTCTGTGGGTCTGGCCATCAAAAACCCGGTCGAGAAATATCCTGAGAGAACGCGATCTTGGAGATTCGACCCTGGTTAGTGGGATTAAGAGAACCTGTTTGTTGGCTGTCTGCTTCTTGTCAGCACACAAAACGGGGGGTTTCCGGTCGGAGATCCACACTTCGGCTTCGACAAGCCGGCCCCGAGGCCAGACACCCGGGCTCGCGCCGAGAGCTAATCGGCGGCCAAGGGGTTCCGTCTCGGGAGTAGCATTCTAGAAGACTGGAAGGACCACCCACGAGCTTGAGTTCGTTCAGACCTCGGTACTAGGACTAGAGCTCTAACATCTCTTGGATAGGATGCTACGCTGCTGACTTGCGAACCAAACATGGATGAAGCCCGCGAAAAGTATCGAGGCGAGACCGAGACGGAAGGTCTGCTGGGGTTTGTTATACCAGAAACGACACAGAATACTCAAGAAACCAACAACAAACAGGCACAGGTTCCCTTTTTGGCCGTCCCGATGCGAAGGGGCGCGGAGTTGAGCAAGGCACGACTGGTTTGAATCTCGTAGACTGACACAAGGGTGACAAGCGATGGCTGCTGGCACGAACACTTTGACGCGCCGTGCGTACGGTGCTGCAGATCCGGAATCCAGTCCATCGACTCATCCCTTCCCCCTCGCGTTTCTTGCGCGGCAGAGTCGGTCGAAAGTCGGAAGTTTTCTCAACCACGGGCACTCTGATCACTTCGTGTCTCCGTGGGGAATGTGGTCTAAGCCGCACCTCGTTTCACCTGGATTCTGATACTCGTACAAAGATCTTTTCCCCCTCATTGTTCGCACCAAAGGTTCAGATTGTTGAGCCTCCCTGCCTCTCTTGCAGACTACTGGGGAAGTTCTCTCGCTGAGACTCGAGACACATTGGCGCGGTTCGGCTACGATTACGGTTCTCATTCCACTCAATCTTCTTGCCCTAGCCACCCCCGCGGTCGTACAAGCCGTCGCGTAAGTGGTCCACCGCCTGGCCACACCCACTGGGCTGCGGGAGAGTAAAAAAAGACGAGTTCATACGAGACTGCACACCATTACCGGTTTTCATGGAGACTACGGGAGGTCCTGCGGAAGGAATCTTGGCTTCGTACACCGGGCCGCGGGAGTGAATTGAGTGTTTCCTGAATCGACTCGTGGGACACTCCTGATTTGCGGGTCTCGGATTGCACTCTACCTGAGTTTTATTTCCGGGCGTCACCTCACCTTAGGCTTTCCAACTAACCCAAATTTGAGCGGAAGGCCGTGTGGAAGGCAGACTCTGACTTACACGCTAGGCCATCGTCAGTGCCGCACATGAAGCTATGCATCGTGAAGACGCCAAAGACGGCCCGTCCTTTACGTCAATCAACCGGTCGGTCATCTGCCATCAGGCTTAAAGAACGTGCGATATCCAACGTATACTATCGCTTTGAGAATGAGAAGAGGCCTGAAAACAGTTTGATAGGACCCTTGAAGAGACCCTTCACACACAAGGCAGATGGCCGGCCGACCGAGGAAGAATCAAGCTCGCACCGACGAGCGGTCTGACCTCTGCCGGCGTATCCCGCTCTCGTTAACAAATCCTGCGACGGCTGGCCTGGATGATCCCAACAACCCCCGGTTGACTTCTCGAAGAGCTTTTCCCTATCAGAGGCCTGGAGAGGACTCCGCAGCGAAGCAAGTCGGAAGTTCACAAGCGAGAGGGTTGTCTTCTTTGGTAGTGGTGCCGTGGGGGATCGCCAGATCCGCCAGCGCGGGAAGAGAGTTGAGCAGGGATCCGTCCGCACGTTTCACGTTTCACTTCGGCGAGCGACGTCGTGTCAGGCTGTGCTTGGAAGGGGGAGGCTCATGGGCTGGAGAGTGTTTAACACCCCAGCTTCGGGGACGAATCCGTTTTATATCTTTGTTTTAAAATAGCTCCGCCGCCCGGTGGTGGTGTTGGTTGTTTGGCTGAGGGGCAATTCGAAGAGGCTTGGCTGCTGAGAATGTCGAAGAGAAGACGGAGCCCCGCGCCTCAAATATCAGTCGAGCAACGCATAGAGAGCTCGAGGGTTTAAGGTAGTGCACAGCCTCCACCATCGAGAAAGTGAGGCTCGAAGGAAGGCCAGATACATCGTCAATATTGCCCGAACCCGCAAGTACGGGTCGAATTTGCGGGCTACCCGTCGAGCTTGTGTGAAATAAGCGCCGGACCTTAAACAAGGATGACATCCCCCATGTCGACGATCAGCCTCAAAGGTTCATCCATCGGCAATGGGATGCGGGTCACGCCGATTCGCGCGATGCGAGTGGCCGAACAAAGTCATTCATATCCCATCCTGCCTCGAATCTGAGGAGTCCTGCCGTGCCAGGTACTCTTCCTGATCCATGCATTGACGTCAAGTACAAAGACAGCAGTCAATGCGAATAATGGCCAGAGGCATGCCCCGGTCGAGGAAGACGTGATGGAGGGCCAGAAGAAGCGTCGAGTCGAATCTTCTTCCTCGGGCCTCTCGCCCCCTCCTCTACCTCCCACTCCCCCAAACCGTACGAAGGTGGGCAAATAGGTACGGGGGTGAACCGTGAGTAACTTGTGAGACGGATTACGCTTTTGGGAAGTCGATGAGCTGAGATTTCATATAATGTTACTGTCTGTGCGAAGGTTGTTTTGCCCCTCCCGTATGTGAGGGTCTGATCTAGTCTGTGCCAGTCTATAAGCCTCCGAGATCCTTCTTCCCTCACTTGTCTTCCAGTTCTCTCATGCTTGCTGGCCAAACACGTCGATATACCCTCCGTACGCTATACACTTGAATCTCCGGAAGATCATCACCATCAACACCAACTACATTCACAACCCACGGTATCCTCGACCGACAAGATGAAGTTCACTACCGAGATCACTCTCCTCACTCTGGCTATGGGCGTCTTCGCCGAGCCCCCCACCAAGGTCGTCGCCGAGCGTGACTTGGCCACCATTCAGGGCGTCATCCAACAAGTCGGCAACTCACTGAAGGACCTCAATAAGGCTGTGGAGGGCTTCAACGGCGACCTCAGCGGCCTCGCCGGTGCTGCTGGCGCCTTCACCAACACCCTCAACCAGGGAACCCAGCAGGTTATGGGCACGAGCGAGATCACCCTCAACGAGGCCCTCCAGCTCCAGCAGTTTGTCTCTGGACTTCAGAGCGACGGCAACGCCCTTACCAAGAACCTCGAGAAGAAGAAGCCCGAATTCGAGAAGGCCAGCCTTTGCGGTATCATCTCCTCACAAGTCGGCTCCGTTGGCGATGGCGCCAAGAAGCTCATCGATACCGTCGTCACAAAGGTTCCTCAGAGTGTTCAGTCCGTCGCCAGCCAACTTGCCGGCAGCTTCGCCACAACACTCTCATCAACCCAGCAGTCATTCGCCGCAGGCAACTGCACCAACGCAAACGGCATGGGTGGCGGCGGCAACGGAACCTCCAACAACGGTACACCCAAGACTTCCTCCCCCGCCAAGGCTGGCGCTGCTACCCTCTCCGTCGGCCTCGGCTCTATCGCCGCGGCGGCGTTTGCTGTCATGTTGCTGTAAGCGGGTTTGGCGTGGAGATGGGATCGGAGTTTGGGGTTTGGACCGAAGATCAGCGGAGGATATATGGGAGATTTCAAAACTTTGTCTATGATGGCCTTTTTCCTTTCTTATAGGCATGCCGAGAGTTATATCATACGGGCTCAGGTAGACAATGCGAAGCCTGCTTCTTTGCACATTAAGTGTACGCTGACGTCTACCTTACCTCCTACGTTGCTGATAGGCTGACTATTATAGAGTGTCATGTGGACTGCGGTAGCTAAATCACGTCGGCGGTTTACGTGTATGGGTTAGGCTCAATGCACGCGTTGAGGCGTGAAAAATTTGCTGTATAACCCTGAACCTTTGTCCCCATCTGAGGATCGCAGACTATCTACTACTTGTTGGTTGGTGCCGTTGCTCACTCTATGAACCAACTTGCCTCCTCGTTACCGTCCTCCTCCTCATCTTCCACCTCGTCAAGACTTCTGGCGATGTGCATGTGCCCGATCCAACCTGAAAACATATCGTTCAGTGCCTCCTCATCGATAATCATCTCGTCATCGGCCTCGTCATTCTGTGGATTGCTCTGTGAAGCGGTGGGTTCGCTCTCGCTCTCCTTTGACTGCTCGGCCACGATGCGAAGATACTCCTGATAATTAGAATCGCTCAATATGAAGTTCAATCATGAGAGATCCTCATAATCGTCATCAACCTCGAGGGGTTCCAAGAGACTTGCTTCAAAGGCGGCGATATCCTCATTCTCGCGGTCGTCGTTGTGGGACTTGTCTACAATCGGTTGCTTTGGAGTTGGCTTCTCGGTAGTGATGTCCTCACCCTTCTCAAACTCGGCGTTGGGGGGCTTTTCATCGACCTTGCGTCGATTCCCTGTGTTCATAAGGTTAGATTCATCGCCCTCGTAGGACTTGATGAGCTTTTCCGCCCACATGAGGTATCGGAAGTGGGCTTGGTTCTTGACCACGAGGAGTGCCTCATCAAGATCAGTCTTTGACAGCAGCCCCAATTTCCCAACCCCATAAACTTGGATACTCGTGACTTTTTGGATGAAATCCCATTCCTTCAGTCCAATCAACTTTCTCAAAAAGTCTACCCACGTCGTGGAGTCTGCTGGTAGACCAAGGAAGGGGCTGATGGGATTGCCAAAATCAGAGACAAGATCTGCTTCTGCAATTGGCACCGATTTTTCTCCCATCTTCGCAAAGATCTCGTGCCAGACATCTATGGCCTCCCTAACTGGTTGTATGGCATCCTCGAAGTCTTGCTTGGCGACAGGGTATCCATCTAGCATTTCTGCCAAATACTTCAGCTTCAGCTTGGTCAGAGATTCGTGGTATCGGTTGTCACCCGACAGCTCCTTATGGAAGAGCTCCTTCAGTGCCTTGATATGCTGGTCGGCTACTGTTTTGGATTCCTTGTTAGAATCGTGCGAGACTTTGCCATTACCCGACCACTTCCACAAAGTTGTCCCTTCGCCCGGCTTCAGATCCGCTGGATCAATTCCCTCCCACGAAGGAAGGCACCACTCAGCATGAAGTGAATGTCGTTCCACTGTACACCGGCTTCGTGCGCTTTGCAAAGCCGTAGCTTTAATTGCCGTTGATACTCGAGAAAGTCGTCCGGAAGAATACCTCTGCTCCATGGACGTTCTCTGGCAACATGCGATCCATTGAGAACCTGCCTTGAGGGGGTTTCGACAATGCTGGCGCGTGGCTCGCTTTCCTGCAGGGGCAGACATGGTGTGCCGTCCAGAGAGGACGGGCCCCTTGTGTTGGCGTCAGTCATGTTGAGGGTGTCGAAGAAGTGAGGATGGGGTTCCTGAGTCTTGGGTTCGTCAGTGCACCGAGCACGCCTTATAAATATGGTACTTACGTGTATTTTTGATGAACAATTACTGGGGACAACGGGTCTGTTGGTGTGGAAGTAGGTAAAGCTGAAGGAGCTGAGCTTCTCAGGCGCGGAGAGGATTGATGAACTCGTGAGGGTGTGGAAATGACAAGATATCTCCACTCTTGAATTTAGTAGGATGTATTGAAAAGAAAAGGGAAATGGAAAACATACCTTGGAGTGCTTTCCTGCCAGTTATTGGGTGTTTGAGGCTGGAAGGGGCCCGTTGACACCAGACTCCTTCTGTGGGTAGATTGTGAAGAGAGGAAGATGAAGAAGGATAAGAAAGAGAGAAGATTCAAGTATTAAATGTATATCTTTGAGCCTTCCCTGGGCAGGAGCTGAAGACTAATCTACACTATTCGAGGAAGAGACTACCCCACAACTCACCTTGAGTGAGAGAAGAGGGGGGGGGGGGGTAAATGGGCTACAGTCTCTACTCGACAAGCAACTCTCACCTCACTTTGACTAAAGAGACTGTTATCAATCTTCTGCCTCGAACCCCTATCTTGCCCTCAACCCGGGGAAAGTGGACAGTTTATATTGAGTATGCTTATTGCGATACGTGCAGCTTGATTTCGAAACACATTGCCAGATGACATCAATCCAAGGCCTAAGAGTTGTCCGAGTTGAGAGGAATGTTGTCTCTATCTTGCTGCTTGATGAGGTTCAGAAACGTGCGCTTTAGCCGGGTGGAAGCAACTAGTTGAACACCACTATTTCTCTTTGCTGGTCTACTTACTCTCTGCTGTCAGTTTGGTATCCATTTCCGTGATGGATGTTGGTTGCTCGGGAACTGCTGTTCAGCTTATACAACTCTTGGTCTGGTTTCTCGGTCTTCTTGGTGATAGTGTCCTCATCCGTGTCAGGTTTGGCCTTGAGAGACTTGAAATAGTAAGTATTTTACCGTTGAATACCTTGCCTCGGTAGTAATCATTCATTCTTTCCCAATCATATGTAACTTTTCTACCTTTCTGGCCTTTATTACTCTTGTTATCTCTGTTATACTTGTAACTATCATTGCTCTAATTGTTATCCTTGTCGCCTTTCTTACTTCTCATCTTTCAAATATTCACTAAAGAATGCTCTTGAAGAAGTGGGTTATAGTAGTTCTAATGATACTGGCGATATTAAGAACGAAGTTGACTTGTGTGTTGCCTGGCCTCTTATCCTACTACCCACTTGCCAGCGAGATGCCGATGGTTGTGGAACTGGTGGAGTCGCTGGATCTCCATTCTTAGACCATTGTTTGGCGGCTTCGAACATCTCACCGAGCAGGTCCCATCTCTGGGCCACTGATCACGTTCGACTGTAATGGTTCCATTGTTATCGAAAGGTCTCTAGTTCGATTCTGGAAGGGAAGATAGCCTCTCATCTTTTGGCTTTTGCTGTGTTGTGTTGTGTTGACGATGCCTTCCCCAAGAGGTTTGTGGGTGGGTGGTGGTATGTGCGGTGTCCACTTTTGCTTTTGCTTCCTTCCCTCAGCGACACTGTTCCCCAACTCGACTCGCTTCCGAGTCAATGCCAATTGGCCTTGTTTCACTGCCCCTCCATGGCGGCATAGCTTGCGCTCCCTTGCAGCGCATATCAATGCAGGGAGACGTCTCACCGCTTAGGCGCCAGAGCACGATGACGGACTACTATGCCGGTAGGCGTGAGGATACGGTGGATGTACATAGTACGTAGGTAGGCGTGGTAGGCAGGCTTGAATAACCCTTGGCTGGACAACGAGCAATCTAGCCAGCCCGCAGCCAGCAATGTATGTGTTGTATTTTGCGCTTTGAAAAATTCTTTTAGTCCAGAACGAGCGTTGAGCTCCCTTCTCATGAAATCTACCCCCCCAATAATCGCCAATGCTTGACCCAGTGTTAAACATGGTCTTTCCAATTCGTGATGCATGCCCGTGTGAACCAAACGCCGAGAATATGTAGAACAAAATATCAGACGGGATCATTGCCGCTCGGAAGATGTTCCTTTCGAGTAATGTCTCAGAGTGCCTCTGCGCAGCATGCCCGTCTATGTCTTCAACCCCACCAGACTGAGGAACTCGTTCCGGGTCTTCTCCTTCTTCTCGAAGGCACCGAGCACGCAGCTAGTTATCGTGCTAGCCGTCGTCTTCTGCACGCCGCGCATGACCATGCACAAGTGACTGGACTCCATCACAACGGCGACGCCCTGGGGCTTCAAAATCTCCATGATGGCGTAGGCAACCTCCTTCGTCAGGCGCTCCTGAATCTGGAAACGTCTGCTGAACATTTCGGCAATACGGGGCAGCTTCGACAGGCCAATGACCTGGTTCTTGGGAATGTAGGCAATATGCATCTGCAGACACTTGTAAGCCGGGGGTCGCAATTGTCAATGGGCGAATATCGGGGTCTACAAACCTTGCCGGTAAACGGAACGAGGTGGTGCTCGCACATGCTAAAGATCTCAATGTCCTTGACAATGACCATCTCGTTGTGGCCTTCTTGGAAGATGGCATTGTTGACAATGTCCTTTACGTTCTGCTGGTAGCCGCGGGTGAGGAAGAGCATGGCCTCGGCGTAGCGTCTCGGGGTGTCGAGGATGCCGGGGCGGTCGGGGTCTTCGCCGACGCATTCGAGGATGGTGCGGACGGCGCCCTTCATCTTTTCGAGACGAACGGCAGCCTGCTCGGGGGACTCATCGAGACGTTCACGGGTTCCGAGGCCTGTAAAGACATTGCGCATTAGTCAATTGGGGTTGCGCGGGGTCGGGAATGGCGTGACTCTTACTCGGGCGACTCAGGCCGTCAAAGTCGATCACCGGGCTCGGTGACCTCGTTACGACGCCCTCGGATTTGGGCTTGGACGACTTCTTCTTGGACTTGGATGTGGTGGTATCACGGGGATCGCGCGCAGGCTGGCTCAGGCTTGGGCGGCGCTGCTTCTTGGAGTGGTTGCCGTTGACTTTGGCATCGTCGTCGCCCTTGCGCTTCCTGCTGCTTCGCTTGCTTGACTGGCTCGCGGTCTCGGCTTCACTCCCGTCGCTTGAAGCGCTGTGGTGGCCATTCTGGTGCCTGCTCCGGCTTCTCTTCCTTTCTTTGACGGCTGCGCCCTCTGATTGGGTCATTGTGATGTCTGGATCCGAGGAGAGGAGAGGGAATTGGTTGTCAAGGTCGGTGGTTGTGGTTATGAAGGTGGAAGAACGGGAACATTTGGGTGCTCCAAATGAACAAAAGTCCGTACACAGGCGGCCCCCGCTGCGCTCATTCGAGACTCTGGAGGGAAATCGGAGCAGAAAATTCGGTTACGGCCGGCGTTATCTTATCGGGTGGTCTAGCGCGACTTCAGAGGTACCTCCCCCAGGATTCAGGATTGCAACGTGCTGCAGCAGTGCATTTCTGCCAGTCACCGGTGCAGCGGCCAGCCACGTTCAGCGCTCGCTGCAGTGTAAGCTTGGTACTGCGAAAAATGGCTAGTTACCTCAGGTATCCACTTCTCCGATTCCCGTCTGACGCAAGGGTCCATTCCGGGTGGTACGTGCCTTCAGTGGAACCTCGCTCAAACATCCGCCCGTTTGTTTCTAGCCTGCCGTGCACGATCTACCTTACCTCAGTGTAGCTCCAACCTTGACACTGCCGAGGACTGGCTACGGTCATGTGACAGCTGTCCGGGGAAACTCAGGAAACACTCGACCTTAGTCATCCGGGACCGTGTGCTCCACTCTTTCCAGATCCATCGACCGCAACGCGCCTTTACACTCAAGGCTTTAAGCTGGACATGATATTCGACGACATTGCCGACTTCCACCAGATTTGAACCCAAGCAAACGTGACGACTCCCCTACCGACACCTCCCTCGACCACATCCTATTCTCGACTCTTCCGACAGGCGCCCGCCCTCGCTTCGATATCACAACTGCGCTTGCCGGCGCTCACCACTCCTCTTGCGATTCACCTAGAAAGAAGCCTTCGCGATGGCTTCCCCTCCATATGCGTACTCTCCAACCGCACACTCACCACCGTATCCGTCACCCGCGCAGCTCCCCATGTCGAACAAGAAGCGAGCATCAGATGGCGCCCCTCCCGGATCTGCCAAGCGCCGAAAGGCCTCGACACTCTCCGTCACCTCCGCAGCCGCCCACCCCCTTCGTCAGACTTCTTTCCCACCCGAAGCCGGCTCACCATTTCCACGTTCACCCTCGGCCGACAACGCTAGCGTCGTCAGCGGCAGCCAAGTCAGTGCGCCTCCTAAGAAGAAGCGCGGCAGGAAGCCCAAGAACCAGACCAACGTTGAGACCAGAGAACAAACGCCCTCTCTTGTAGGCGGACGCGCACCTACAACTGTCAGCGGCGCAGGCGCTGGAGGCGACGCACAGGAGGAAGGCGCCAATGATGATGAAGACGATAACGATATGCGCATGGCGCTGGTGGATTCTACAGTCAGGACGCAGGAGCAGAAGCAAGAGGAGATAAGACTCCGTGCCATGCTCGTCGAGTCCTTTGACCCAGAACAGTACGATCGCTACGAACTCTGGCGTGCGGCCAAACTCACAGAGTCCGTAGTCAAGAGGGTAAGATTCCTCAACCCGGTTGCCGGCTGGCGCTATGCCATTGTACTGACCAAAGTACCACATAGGTCGTCAATGCGACAGTATCGCAATCCGTCCCACCGAACGTCGCTCTCGCCGTCAAGTCAGTATCGAAGCTTTTCATCGGCGAGCTCATCGAGAGAGCTCGAGATGTGCAAGGAGAATGGATCAAAGGGACTGGCGAAAAGCAGGCAGACGTACCCACGCCGCCGCCCAAAGACGACGCGACGCAGACAGAAGACAGAAGAGGCCCCTTGCGACCAGACCATCTCCGCGAGGCATGGCGACGTTACAAGCTATCGGGAGATGGAGGCTGGGTGGGAATTCAAGGCTTGTGGCATGAGCAGCAGAGCAGCGGCGTGGAGAGATTCCCTGTGCGAACTGGTGGACGACGAGTTTTCCGGTAATGCCATGGCAGAGATTCCATTTGTGACATGACGGGATGGCGGGGGCGCGGAAGGCAACGGAGAAGCTTGGGAGCCTACTTACATGATACCCAGTCTAACAAACAGTTAGCTTTAACTTCGATGGCTCAGGGCTGTCATAATGAATACAGTATTCTAATATGAGAATCATGATTAAGTGAATTAAAGTATCATGGACTAGTGCAAATTCACAAAATAGTACATTACTAAGTAAGTAAGCTGTACACTCCCTATCCAGCAGCAACTGAGGAGCTCTCACAAAGCGTCATTCCCAGGGCAGCCTAAATTACCTAGACTGGACTTCCGCACCCAAAGCTCGTAGCCTGGGATTTGCCATTGAACGCCGCAATCAACCCTTCAATCGACGAGTACATGCCCAACGCCGTCGTGACAAGCCCTCCCAGCATGTAGACGATATTCCAAACATTGAAGAGAGGTCTCTTCATGAACCCCCGCCGGTATCGCTGAAATCCACTGTCGACATACGCATACCTACCAGTGGTTGGGTCAAACATTTCCTGTTCCGGCACCATTGCATCCTTCCGAATCCAATACCCGAGGCCCAGCAGCGCCGGCAGAGTGTATGTGAAGCTAAGGATGAACAGCGCCCCAATGAACCCAGATACCAGCGAGAATTGCGGCACAGCGGCGCCGATGATGAAGGCGAGAGCCCAGTACACGGGTATCACCGCCGCCCACAGCATCTTGCCCGCAGACTCGGTCAACGGCGGCGCCCCAAAGATCTCCTGCAGCAGCTCAACGTAAAGAACCTTCATGCCGATATTCCCATACAACCCGGCCGCGATCAAACCCGTCACCAGGCCCAGAATGTTGGTCGCCGTCTGCCACCAGTACGGCGATAGACTCTGCATGGCGGGGTTGAAGGCGTACTGGCCCTGGAAGGAGTACACGTACAACCCGAAGACAAGGTAGCACACGTAAATAAAGACCTCACCGCAGAGAAGGGCCTTCCAAAAGTCCATGGGGTGCCGCATCTCCGCCATGAAGGCCGCGAAGATGAGACAGCCGCCGTACGAGTAGACGGCTTGGTTGAGCCCGTTCATGGAGCCCAGGAAGCCGGAACCGCCCGAAGCCATGCCGGGCGGGGGCGTGCCGGCGTAGGTGATGACGGGTCCGGGTCCGAAGGTGTCGCCGAAGGAGGCCTGGGTCGCGGCGAAGTTGGGAGGGGAGTGTGCCACGACGCCCATGCTGGTTGTCTTTGGTCAACATCAACCCGAACCGAAGACCATTCCAAGACTTACCAGATGAAAATGATGAGTAGATTCACCCACACGGCCAAGTTTGCAATCCACGAAAACCGCTGCAGCGTCCGAATCTGGCCCAAGATGAACCCGGCCGCCATGAAGATGACAAGACAAGCTACGAAGCAGATTCCCGCATTGCCGTTGGGGCCCTTGCTGATCTGCGAGATGGACTGCCCGTTCGCGAGGATCAGGACGGCCACAAACAACATTAGCTGGAGCCCTTGGGCCAAGTTGATGGCGTGCCTTGCCTTGGCGCCAAAGACGCGGAAGTAAAGGTCACCGTAGCCTTTGAGGGGGTATCTGTCCGAGTCGAGGCCGAGGAAAGCTTTGTAGAGGATCCAGCCGGAGCTTGAATTGGTCAGTCACTTGTTGTCCAAGAGGGTGGTCTTTGGGAGACTTACTACAACGACATGACGCCGAAGACAGTGTAGAGCGCGATGCCAGGGCCGTAACCCATCTGAGCAAAGGCCCATCTGGTTCCTCGTGTTAGTTACGCTTCAGTCAAGGTTTGAGAGTAGGTGAACCTACGGCGTAGAAAATGGCCCAAGGATATCCGTGGTGATGAGGTAGAACACGGCGCCCCAACCAGCAGTCCTCACCGCCCTACTCGCTGTCTTCCACTCCTCGAGCGTAACGACACCGCCGTCCCTGCTCTCCGCAGATTGCAAAGCCTTATCGCTTCCAATCCCGTTCTGCTTCTCTCCAACACCAGCACCGACATCCTCATTTCCACTGCCCTCGCTGCCCCCCTGGAACCTTACATGCTCATCACCCTTCCTGAACCGATCTTTCACAACACTCTTGAGCGTCAAGGGTCCTCGAGAGTGTAGATACCGCTCGTTTGCCAGCTTCTCCTCGGCACGCGTGACTTCGGCCCAGTAGAGGTACTCTTCAAACGTCACGTTGGGGTCGTGCAGGATCACCGCCGGCGGCTCCATGGTGTAAAAGGTTTGTCCATCTTGGCGGGATGGGGTTTGGTCGAGGAGGGGCTGTGGTTTGTTTTGAGCTTTCTGGATGTCGTCTGTGGGTGCGGGTGTAGTGTGATGGGCAGACATTGTTTGTGTGGTTTATCGTGTTTCAGGGTTGGGACGACTTCAGGCGCGATGGGGGTCAAGGAGGCACTGATGTCGGGGAAGGAGATGTTTGATAGACCACACTTTATCAAGGCTCATTAGTTCAAGTTGAAGATGGGGAGAGGGTTTCTTATGAGTTCAATTGATCGTAACGTAGCAGTTCTGATATCGGCCAGTCCAACTGTCGCCGCCGATACCACAGTCGCGTAGGTAGGGAGAGTGACATTTCATGGTATCACTTCAACTCAGCCAGAGGTCAGATACCCTGAACCCCCTCGATATGCCTCATGTCTCTGTCAATCTTCCGGAACAGATTGGAGCCGTTCAAGGATAATCCCCCTTCCCCTCTCGCCATCCTATCTCCTCCCGAGCTAAGCTTTCTCAACCCCCCGGGCCTGCTGTAACCCTGATAAGGAAAAGTCGTTGCAACCCTCCTTGGCGCGAATTGACGACAGACGGGCAGTCGGCAAAGGTGATTTGATGACTACAGTGCCAGGGGACTGTTGGCTGTCAATTTATCCCGCGTGACTATCACAATCATATGGTAATTGACTTTTTTCTCAGCCCCCTTCTCGAAGCCTGAAGGTGTCAGTTGTGGGGTGACTCGGCTCAATTGATCCGTCTTCTAATCCACGATGGGATCAAGACTTATCAAATATGTGAAGAGTTCTAGCGACTGCTGGAGAATTGTCACGATTGTGATGAGCTGAGGGGGTGGGTATTCGGCAGTTGTCGATATCAATGACGTTCTCGATGGCAGGTATATGAGAACACGCAGATTGGTTGCGTTGTTATGCAGCCAAGTCTCATGGGCCCTACGTGCTCACATCTTTCATTGGAAACACTTCCACCTCATCATGGTCCCAATTGATATATGCGTGCGATGGGTGGATAATTTTCAAAGGGCATCTATCTCCATGGTCTACAAATCCAACGTCGAGGTAGGTCGCTTAGAAGCTCGCCGATAACGACGGGCCGATGATTCTACCAATCGATGTCGTATGCATCATCGACTTTGACTATACAATTATTATTGAATTCCTTGACGGATGCAAACGTGTGTCCAATTATCATCCATGCTTTGTACTCTACCAATGTCGGAAGGGGTGGTCTCAGGACCTCCTTTGCCAATACAAGCCGAGGGGTGCCCTTCATGATTGACCACATCAAAGACATAACCACATCATCGCATAGATCTTATTACTTTCTGTTATCATTCATGGCTGGTATGATTGAGGATGTCTCTTATCTTCGTTGACATTATGATTCAAACTTCATTTCTGCTATGTGGACGGATGTCTCGATGATGATGCGTCAGCCTTGTCTTTATACAGATTGTACATGGTGAACCCCTCCAGTCGTCATGCCATAAGGTTACGGCATTAATCATCTTCCTTCTTGATCTCCTCTTTGATTTGCGTTGATTTTGCTTTCTTGACCTCCCGCTTCTTGGGCCTCAACCATTCCTCCATACCCTCAGGCCAATACACCCTATGTTGCGGTCCACCCATGCCGAAATCCTCAGGGGCTATGATTTTCTCTTCTACAGGAACGGATTCAGGTTCCTCTGGTTCCTCGTCTTCGTCGTCATCATCCTTCTTCTTCTTGGATTTCTTAGGCTTCTTTTTGCCATCCTTCTTGGCGACCGCCTTGTTCGGTCGGATTTCATCCAGTCGCTCGTGTGGCACCACGTTGTTGAATAAGTCCCATCCCGGAAGCCTGAATGTTCGCATGAGTTCAAAGACAGCCTGCTCCTTATCTTTGGCCTCGATCATGAGATCTGCGTCAGGAGTGCACGGTGGAAGAGTGCGCACTCGCGGAGAGTGTTTTCTTCGGTCCCGGGGTGTGGTAGCGCTCGGACATGATTCGCTATAGTGCATCTTTTGCTTGATGTTCTTGCGCGTCCATGTAGCACTGATCCTATCGTAGATCTTCGTAATATCCTCGGTACCCTCACGCAATTGGCTTGCGTCGAAAATGATGTTGTGGTGATGGAAGTCCAGAACCATTGGGATGTTCAACTCCTCGCAGATAGGTAGTAGGTCATGGACAGACCAGGCAACATCGTCGTTCTCGAGGACAAGTCGGTTCTTGATAGACTGTGACAGCTTAGCATAGTTGGCACGGAATCGATCCAGCGTAGATGCCTTGTCGCCGTAAGTGCCACCCATATGCAATATCATGATGGCGTCCCTATTTTGCTGCTCCGGAAGACGGAGAAGGCCGAGCAACTCATCGTGATATTCAAGATCGCGAATTGCGGCTGTGATGACTTCTTTGCGTGGTGAGCCGAGCTGAGTAAACTGGCCAGGGTGCGTCGTCAGTCTGTGGCCTAGTTGTGCAGCGACTTTTCCGGCTTCTGCAAGAGGCTCCGCAGCGAACGGGGTGAGGCGGTAGCCGTATTCTTCATGGCTAGCAAACGGAAACATTTCTGAGCTGAGTCGCATGAACTTGATGCCGTACTTGTCGTTCCAGCGAAGCATTTTCACAATATCCCGAGCATTGGCCAAGCCCAGTTCCTCGACATACTTCTGACCGCGTTTGATATCGGCCGGCTGGTTTTCGTCAGGACGATTCTTAGTAGGGTGTTCAGGCTGAGATGGATCAGCAAGCGGGTGACGATGTTGTAATATGGAGGCTATGCGGCAAGTTCTTGAACTGAAGACGGGTGGATTTGCGGCGCGGAGATAGGTATTGAGACAGGCCTGCTCCAGTATTAGTCAACGACAACGAAAGCTAGGATGTGGGAAAGATCATACGTAACCCAGCCTTCCAGTCCATGGGAGAGGCAGGTAGCTGCTGTTTACAGGCGGCTCTCGTCCAGCACCTCTCTCCGGAGCGTTCTCGAGGCGCATCTTGTCGTCCTCGACGTCACCGACAGCGCCTTCCCCGTCCGGACCTTCGATTGGGGCGGCATCCAAATTGGGGGTACCGGATCGCTCCTCTTCAGCCATCCGGGCGAGCTTCTCTGGATCTGACGGATGGACTGCCAAGTGAGGTTTATATGCGTTTTTGTCTGAGTGAGGCTTGGTTGAACCAGGCGGGACATGGCTCGTCTCGATGGCAAGACGCTGGTTCCTGGTGGAATTCTGTAGACGGTTCTCCATCTCAGTGAGCTCTCTTATGGCACGGCGCACGCCATTCTCAGACTCGGCCTTCTTGCGGCTAATCTGGCGGCGCTTAGCCGGTGGTTGGTCTTTTGCAAGATCGGCCTCGGTGGGACTCATGGCGGCGCCGGGCTTGGTGACTGTTTTCACGTCGCTGATGTTTCTGGCGGATCGGCGCGGAGCCGGAGTGTCGGGGACAGGGTTTGCAGCCTCGGTGGTAGTAGGTTGTCCATTTGTTATACCGGACTTCTTTCGCTTCTGTGCGGCCATGGTGATGTATGGGCAGCAGTTAAGTAATATAAATGGTCGGCTGAGCGAGTACTGATGGGGGTGGGAGACACAAGCGAGCGATGAGCTCAGGAGCGGGACAAGTGACGGCACAAGGGGGCTCGTGGCACGAAGAAGTCGTCGCGGATACAACAGATGATTGGCCGCGGCGGAAGAAAAGCTCCTCATGCAGTCAATGACGGGAGCAGCGGGCGGATCTGTCGAGAAGTGGCCCGGCAAGGTGATGGATACGGAAGCGCGTAGTAGTATAGAACCCGAGGATAGTTATGCTCTAAGGTGGATGTTTGCCATGTGGGAACTAAGGTAATGCGGATGGCCGGGTGTCAGATGGATGCGAATTACGTAGAGACGCTTTGGCGTAACTGCAGGTGACCGAATTTCGAATCGAGTGAGGTACCCCGAGGGATGAAGTGTGTGTAGTAGGGGTGCTCTGTTCAGGATGATGCTCTTCGGCGAGGATGGGAAGGAAGACGATGACAGGGACAACGAGACTGTAAGGTATGGTTAAGCAAGAGAGGAGTATGTGATTTGATATGAGTTGAGGCTGAGTTGAAGTGAGATTTCTCAAATCACTTGCAATGCGCGCCGAGTGAAGCAAAGGAAGAGTGTGTGAGAGGGCGGAGAAAGGAGAGGGAGAGAGACGGGAGAGGGAGAGAGAGAGGCAAAGACGAAGAGATGGAAAACGTCGATGAGGTCAACGGGGCCACAGACCGAGCACTGCGCGCTCGAGAGACAGACGTCGGATGGGAGTGAGGTACAAACGGCCATGTATCTTGAAGCGAGCAGGCTAGTAATAGAGGCGAGTATCTACCTGAGCTCAGCTTGAGATAGGTACTCCGAGCTAAAGTAGGTACCTAGGTAGGGTAGGTAGGGGAATAGACGGGAAGGATGGGAATTGGAAAAGGAAGCTAAGACGGATGCTTTCTACCTGACCTTACCTTAGGTACCTTAGGGTCCCGATCGTGTTACCAATCACTTAGTTTGACTCTCGTTTTTTTATGTTTGTGGCGGAAGAGAAGAACCTAAGGGACGATGTGAGGTAAGGTTAGGGCAACACGATCTCGAGGATGCCTCCCCTCTCCATGCTATGCGAGACTCTACTTTCTTCTCTCTTATTTTCTTGTAAATATGGATCAGGTCCCATACGGTACCACATTCCGGGTCGAAGCTCGCCCCTTGAGGTATGACGCGTGGGATCAATAGAGTCGGGCAGGAAAGAAGACAGCCGAGTTGAAGAGAGGACGCGAAACCGCCACACGAGTAATGAGGCAGTTGAGACGCCACAGTCGACGCTCGACTAGAGATGAGGAAGGCGCTTACCTGATGAGTAAGGATGATTCCTCACTGTATCCCAGTAGATATGCAAAGAAGAAGGAGAAGAAACAGAAAAAGAAAGAAGCGCGGGAGGGAAAAGCGCGTTCGCAACCGTGGATGTGGAACAGAGGAAGGGACGATACAGAGCTATGAGGTAGGTGTGGAGAGCACAGACCACATATCGTGCGTCATTCCTCCAACAGCGCAGACGCACCTCGATTAAATCGACGGCAGGAGCTCCCGACGTCACCACCACGACACCTCTCCTGAGCACTGTGCCTTCCTTCTGCCTCACCTACCAGTCAGCACCTTACCTTACTATTGAGCCATGTGCATGGCAAGTGCGCAACCAATTTCTTTTAGATTTAGGAAAGAACTTGTCATCGTACCAAATTCCAAATAGCAAGCACCTTCCTCTCCTCCTTTTCTTCAACGTCGCGTCCGTACCTTAGAGGTAGGTAAGTACCTTGCATCAATGGCAGGTGAGAGCCATCTTGGTCTACCTTAGTTCCTTCCCCAGTCCAAAGTAGGTATGAATGAAGCATTTGGAGACATCCGTTACACCAAGCAGAAAGTCAACGGAGCCAAGCGGGTAGAATTTGCATAGCTAGCTTCCAATTCCCCGTCTACAATTCTCCATTTTGTGACATCGACATTCCGTCTTCATTGCAGATTTGCCGCACAACTTTGAACTTCTATATCGGCACGCATCGGTAGCAGACATTGCAGAGTCCACCCAATTCCTCCAGTCTCTCCACACATCTTGCGTATGCGGAGTATTGCCGGTATTCAGCCTCACGGACATGACCTCATCGTCCCATTGCCAGAGACAGAGGCTGAGGCAAAGACTTTCACTTTGTTATTCACCAATGTCACCGCACGCGCTGCAGTGTAGACAGCTATTCGAGCCGTGATTGGAATCTGCCACACTCTGTCTGCTCTACCTAAGGTATACGAATGCCACCAGGGAACACAAGCTCCGTCGTCCACTCACATTCGGCTTGTTCCATCACTAATTCATCATCCCAGCAGATAATGCGCGCCTTCTTGCTAGCTCCGCCCAAGTCAAGCTCACCGAACCCAGCCAAAGTCTCACCTCCCTTGTCCAAGAAAACAACCATTCGGACTTGGGGCTCCACCTCAAACGATACACACCGAGGCTCGCGGCTTGCTTTGCAGTACCGTATCGTATTGTCTATCTACATCGCCGCCGCTGTTTACTGAGAGAACTGCAAAACAACGACTCCCATGGCACTCTCGATGCTGGGCTGATATGTACGACACTGTATTCTCTTTGTTTTATTACCTATCGGCAATCATGAATACAAGCAGCCATCCGATCGTGGCATTCTCGTATCAACTGTACATCTTACCAGCCAATGTACCATGCAGCCGACCCCTGCGCCTCCAGCTTCACCGTGCGCCACCCCCAGACCGTCTGGTCCGTGAGCTGAGCAAAACCTCCGGCTCCATGACGATGCGATCTCGATGTCATCCAACTCCCGCTTACTGGCTCCCCCGTGGTTGGCTTGCGTTTCCGATATTTTTCTGCAATACCTGCAATCTTCGAGACGTTGCCAGCCCTCTCGTACGAGGAACCAAATGCCTAGGTATCTGCACCGACGAAGCCCCCATGTATCTACTTTCTCGATCATGGCACGATTGCCATCCATACGCACCCAATGATTGGGCGGCTCCCTACCTCAGACTCACGCGCCGCATTGGAGCGACGAGATACCTGGCTGGTTGAATAATGCCCAACTAGCCATGCCGCGAGATCATACGTAACAACATAGCACCGCCCGTTGGCTCTTGGTAGATAGACTGTTGCAGAACGGTTGCACAATTGCGATTACACATGGCGACTGGCAAAGGTGCTTTGAATTCCAAGATTACATAGTGAAAACTAAACAACACCATAATGCAAGATTCGACGCCTGCTCCATCGCGCTAGGGTATCTGGAAGGCCACGTAAAGAAAGGAGGCGGACTATCTTCCAAGCCCGCACGGCCCGGTCACATCACACGCACTGCCATCCGCCCGGCCGCAAGCCGAGCCGGGACTGGTGGTGTGATACCGGGTCCGTCTTCAGCGGACCCGCCCTCCGGCACCGGCGGTGCCGGTGCGGTCGCTGCCCTCGCTCGGGTCTCCCGCGTCTGCCAATATTGACTTCGGCAAACGGGACAATCAAATCTTTCAATCAAGAACCACGACGAGAGACACTTGGCGTGGAAAGCATGTTGGCAGTTCTTTAGCGTCAAGATATCATCTTCGGACGGTTCACTTGCAGACGCGGACAATTTTCTCTTCCACGGCCACGGCATATTCCAGCTTCGCAGTATGGCCTTCACATCACGAACCTCATCCGTACCTCCGACCGTAGACCGGCTTGTCTCTTCCCCACTTCCTTCTAGAACACGGGTGTGCCCACCGGAATCGGAGGCCTTCAGGGTGATCCCTTGCGTCGGTACTGCTCCGGCAGCATTGCAGTTGCTTGAGACGAACAGTGGACCGATACAGATGGGACTATTGGTGACAGCGTTAGCGACCTCGGTGTATTATGCATTGGCGAACTCTGTTGTCGGCTTCCTCCACGAAGATAGCGCACGCCTCATACCCAAGGCTTTCCCCGCAGTGACCAACTTGGCGAGAGATACTCACCATTCCGGTTCCGAGTCATGCCGATTGAGCTTCGACTCGAGATCCAATCCGTCGAGGGTAGTGCTATTGCACTCGGAAACTGTGCTCAATTTTCGTCGGGCGTCTTGGAACTTTGATGTCTTGGGATGATATTTGCGACGGTCTTGTATGCGCAGATATGTGAGGCGGACTCTAACGACACGCATGCTCATCAGCTCCTCGTAGCTATCTTGCTTCGGAGAGGGGGGTTCAGTACGGTCTGTATAGCGGCCCGCAGACGAGAAGGACCATGAAAAGCGTAAGCAAAATTATGCCAAGTTCGTCCATGCAGCCGGTGGGTGCCCGACGAGGGGCATGCCAGACTCCTAGACCGACTTGAAAGTGATAACGGGTACTTCTTGCGCTGGTTAATCGCGAGTTCTTCAATGCCAACAACAGGATGTGTTGTGGCTTTCAAAAGCTGCATATCGCATCTGTGGTGAGAAATGCGGCGACGGCGACCATTTAACTCGGCAAATGTCGACAAGCGGCGGCGCAATCAAGGCTGATCAGATGACAACAAACGCTACATAAGCCGACAAGGCACACCTACAGAACCCTCGTGGATGGCTGGAGTCAAGAGCCGAGTTGGTGATACGCCAGATGCGAGCTCTCTGCCATCAGCCACCAATACCCCTCATTCACCCAAGAGCACCGGCGTTCAGCTATGGTGTTCTCACAGCTGGGCGCCCAGTCTTCCTTGCAAATGGCTGTTTGCTTGAGATAACAATGAGTCGACGAGTTCCAACTTCCAACAAGGCCACACATGGCTCATTATCTTTGATTTTCTCTATCCATACCTGCTCAAAACCCTCACGATATCGTTCTTCGTGGGCCAAGAACCTTGGCTGCAAATTACGCCGAATCAGACGCCTGTCCAGATGCAACTCTTTCTGGGGGTTAGATAGAATAGCCCAGGTTTGTGACGTAAAACTGGCGTGTGATACTGGTCTTGGTATCCTTGGTAAGCGGCGGGGCGCCTCTACTACCTTGCCTCCGTTTTCCCAAGAGAGGCCGATGAGTCTGTCTGGACTCCTGGGCAAAGAGACTGAACTGCAACGGGGCAGGGAACGAAACGCAAAAACGAAGCAACGGAGGGGTTGATTGACCTTACACAGTAGATACTCTAACCTTTTCAGTGGATGGGCGGGGGAATGTTGGGGTGACGAGGACTTTCACCAGGGAGTGCCCCTCCATATCCCCTCTACCCCCTCCGGAAAGTTGGAAACTTTTGAATGAACCGCCATGGAGACCCCAGGATTTGGAGGTGAGAAACATCTACGGAGTACGGAGTACTCCAGACTCCAACTATCCAACACCAAGACGCATCCACGAACCCCAGGAGAGCCGGCGGCGGCGCTGGAGGAGAGGAAAGTGGACTTTGGAGGAGCGGCGCCGGCGCCCAGCAGGCCGGCCAAGAACCGCCAAGTTGCCCGTCATCCCTTGGCTGCCAGACTGACCTACCAGAGGTTCAACTCTTCTCATTTGCAACCCACCTCATATGTCCACCTCGGGGCGGCCAAGACGTCCGCCGTCCAATACCATCAGCTGACCAGTGTCTCTTGCGACACCGAATGGAGAAATGCGATCAAGCATGCTGGAGAAGGATTTGGCAAAGACCCTGCTCCGAGTATCCCGCAAACGTGCACCGGCATGATGAGCTGGAAGGCGTGGTTGTAGCTGGATAGGCCGGGCTATTCGCGGCCTTGTTTTCTATGCCCAGAAAACATCGGCCTATCTGAGGGGCTCACGATATCTCTCTACACATTTCGATAAGTCTCCGAATTGGGCTCCTACACTTCTCGCCCAGTATCTAGGCGTCTCACTCGGGGTGGCTGTGTTTCTGGGCGGACCCGTTCTTCCCCCGCCCGTGTTGCGCCCGAGTTGTCGTGAGTCGGTGATACTGGGTCAAGATCCCGGTTCATGTTCGTCCTCTCCACGTTCCTCGCAGCCGTAATTTGTGTAGACTCTGGGCAGGCGTTCTCGTGCGCGGGGTTCAAAGCAAACCATGAGGGGAGAGAGGTTGAGAGGAATAGCGACGGAAGACTTCGACTGACGTTGTCAAGTGTAGATGGTGTGAGTTGAATATGGTCGTCCGGATTAACGGAGGTTCGGAGCCCACCGATCAAGTTCGAACCCGCATATTTACGGCGTGTGAATCTTCGAAGAGTGACCGAAAATATCGGGAACTTTTGCGACTTTGACGGTGCCGGCGTCTTGCCATCGGCGTCGAAGACGTTCAATAACGCGTCCGCTCACCTTAAACGACCTGGACAACAGACGGCGCTTTATAGTTGTGCAGAGCACTGAGAGGCCTCCCAAGCACGTGGTGCGGCAGTTGTCGTATGCTGTGTGCGTCACCTTCTGGCGCCCGTCACTTACAACTCCGGATCTGGCATGTCTAGGTCCTGGCCATGAGAAGGAGCTGGAAGAGCAGGATGAGCCAGTTGACCGTCGTGCAGCCGGCAGCAGGGAGAGTGGAGAACGGCGGGGAAAATGGCACAGAGAGCCCCTCGTTGAGTCTTGAAGAGCTGTTTCCGACGTACGAACCGCGCTGCCCAGGAAACATGTTAGCTTCTGGGCACTTTCTTTGGATGTACACATATCCCTGCGACAGCTATGATCATCACCCGGCGGCGTATACCATTTCTAAATCTATTGTCCCTATCCGTACATATGGGACACCCCGGAGTCAGCTCAGCGACACTGAGCTAGACTCGGCCTTACCGCAAGTCCGCCAGTGTTACACTTCAAACCTGTCAAGCCTGCAGCCTACCTTAGACTTTGAGAAAATTGTACGGGTACGGTCTACGATCAACCACAGTATACGATCTTGGCGCTATTGCAGATACACTACTGCAGAGGTGACAGCACCCCTGCAACTAGCAACCTTCTAGAAGGAGGGCATCCCCACAATGGATGTTTCTTGGAAGGCAGAGAGATGTCTTACTGGCCGGAGGCGTAGTGGAGAAGGCAGAAACTCTCGTCTTCTGTCTTTCTGGGCGCAGCCAAATTCATCACCGAAAGCATCGATCCCTCAACCTCACCCACCCCCTCCTCCATGCTCTTGTCTCTGGCGGGTCCAATTGTATTCTCCATTACAATGCCCAGCACCGCTCTCAGCCTCTCGAGGAGCGGGCTGCCCAGAATGAGGCCCGCTGCCCAGAGTCTCGGCAGCTCAACATGGCAGGCGAGGGCGTCGAGATCCAACCAAGATCTGGATGGCGTGCTATTGAATCGCTCGCGTGTTCACGACCGATTTTCGGTCGAACAGCTTGAGATTGCTCCAACATCATGGAAAGCCTGGGGGTACCCTTGAAAGAGCCCCGCGCAGAGCCGCCAAGGCTGAAGGAATACGCCCTCGACACCCATGAGAACGCTTGTCACGGACCGCGAGGAAACTGATAGATGTGGGCGTTTTACGCCCCCCTCGTACTGTCCGTCTGTCTTGTTATGAAGTCATAACGCCTAGAGATGATTCCCGTCCCGGGGCACCAAGTACATGTATACATGTTCTCCCAACTCCCCTCTCGAATCTTTGGCTTTTTGTTCCTCGCCTCTCTCGACATACTCTGAATCAAGTCTTACCACGAACTTTTTTTCATTGTCTCATCTTTCCTACTCATGCTTGACTGTTCTCTTGACCTTAAGGGGGTAGAAGTGCTTGAACCTGGATAAGAGCAGAGCACTCACACTTTTGCCCGTTACAGCTCGTATTTGTCCAAAGACTTACACATCCCTCCACTCCGATTGGTCCCAGCGACCGCTCTTGGAATCTCTTGGAGAGCTTCTACCAGGTGATTCGGAAGTTGGTCCATCGTTACCTGTCTTCTTTCTGTTCACACTCAATCGATTCAGCCTTTCCCCCGGTGAACAACTGTCCTTATGGGAAAGAAAGATCCCGAGGCTGAGGCTATGGCCAACCACATCTCTGGACAGTCCAATAAGCCCATGTCCAGGCCGGCACATGCTTTGGCTACCGAGCAAGTCGTCCAGGAGCTGAGAGCCAACCCAGACGACGGCTTGACACCCGAGGACGCCAAGACTCGTCTCGAAGAATATGGCCGCAACGAATTTGGCGCCGATAAGGGCGTTCAACCCGTCAAGATCTTCATTGGACAGATTGCCAATGCAATGACCTTGGTATGGCTTCTTCGCCTTCTTCATTCTTCCATACAAAGAACGACAGACTGACGCAGACATCAAATTAGGTTCTGATCCTGGCCATGGGTGCTTCTTTTGGTATCAAGTCTTGGATCGAGGGAGGTGTCGTCGCTGGTGTTATCTTTCTTAACATTACTGTCGGCTTCCATCAAGAGTTCAAGGCCGCAAAGACGATGGATTCCCTTCGATCACTTAGCTCGCCTACTGCTCAGGCAGTACGAGAGGGCCGTAACATCACCGTCCCCACCGTTGAGATTGTGCCTGGCGACATGGTCGAGCTCAAGACTGGTGACACCATCCCCGCCGATGTTCGCATAATCGAAGCTGTCAACTTTGAAACAAACGAAGCCTTGCTCACGGGAGAGTCTCTCCCCATCCGCAAGGAGGCTGCTCAGACTTTTGATGATGAGACTGGACCTGGTGACCGCCTCAACGTCGCATACAGCTCCTCAACCGTTACGAAGGGGCGTGCCCGTGGTATCGTCTTCGCTACTGGCATGTATACCGAAATTGGTCAGATTGCTGCCGCCCTTCGGGGCAAGAACTCACGCCGCCGAGAGGTCAAGCGTAAGGAGGACGGCTCCGCCACCTTTGGGCGCTACCTTCAAGCATGGACTTTGACCCTTTCCGATGCTGTCGGGCGCTTTTTGGGCGTCAATGTTGGAACACCTCTGCAGAGAAAGTTATCTAAGTTGGCAATTCTTCTCTTTGGTACCGCTGTCGTGTGCGCCCTGATCGTACTGGGAGCAAACAATTTCAACACAACGCAGGAGGTTGTGATTTACGCCGTTGCTACTGGTCTTGCGATGATTCCTGCCTCGTTGGTTGTGGTCTTGACGATTACCATGGCTGCTGGCACGAAACGAATGGTCCAGCGTCACGTTATTGTTCGCCAGTTGAAGAGTTTGGAGGCCCTCGGCGGTGTTACGAGTAGGTTCACCCCAAAAGCACTGATGATATTTACCAATGACAGATGCTAATCCACCCGTAGACATTTGCTCTGACAAGACCGGAACTCTTACTCAAGGGAAAATGGTTGTCCGCAAGGCCTGGGTTCCTGGAAAGGGTACATTCTCCGTTAGCAACACTAACGAGCCCTTCAATCCTACAACGGGCGACCTCGGTCACAGTTCTGGCCAGCCCAAAGACATCAACTTCGGTTCCAAGGAGGGTGATGGCGAGCCATTCTCCAATGCCGAAGCTGAGGATCGTGTGAAGGAGAGTACCGTTCTCACGGACTACTTCAACGTCGCATCCCTCGCCAACTTGGCCAATGTCCACAAGACCCCTGAGGGAGAGTGGCACGCCCGTGGTGATCCTACCGAGATTGCCATTCAGGTTTTCGCATCCCGTTTCAACTGGAACAGGCTGCGTCTCGCTGGCGAGTCCAACCGGTGGCAGCAGATTGCCGAGTTACCCTTCGACTCCGATGTCAAGAAGATGTCCGTCATCTTCGAGGACACTCAGACAAAGGCAGCATCGGGAAACAAGACCTGGCTCTTCACCAAGGGTGCCGTCGAGCGTGTCATCTCTTCTTGCCCTACGATTCAAATGGGCGATGATGTCGTTGAGCTTACCAAGGACATTGAGCAGGACATTTTGGCCAATATGGAGGCTCTTGCCCGCCTTGGACTCCGTGTCCTGGCCTTTGCGAGCAAGTCTGACATCGGTACCGTTGATAACCATGATAACCTTGATCGCGCCAACTTCGAAAAGGACCTCACTTTCCGTGGCCTCATCGGTCTCTATGACCCTCCCCGTCCCGAATCCGGTCCTTCGGTCAAGAAATTCCACGAGGCCGGCGTCAGCGTTCACATGCTTACCGGCGACCATCCCGAAACTGCTCGTGCCATCGCCCTCGAGGTTGGTATTCTGCCCACGCGCATGAATGAGATTTCCGCGAGCGTGGCGAAAACGATGGTCATGGCTGCCCACGACTTCGACAAGCTCTCAGACGACGAGATTGATAAGCTGCCCAACCTCCCGCTGGTCGTCGCTCGCTGTGCCCCTCAGACTAAAGTTCGCATGATTGAGGCTCTTCACCGACGTGAGCGCTTTGTGGCCATGACAGGCGACGGTGTGAACGATTCTCCCAGTCTGAAGCGAGCTGACGTCGGTATCGCTATGGGTGAGAGCGGCTCTGATGTTGCTAAGGAGGCGTCCGACATTATCCTCACTGACGACAATTTCGCATCGATTCTCAATGCCGTTGAAGAAGGTCGTCGCATGTTTGATAACATCCAGAAATTCGTCCTGCACGTGCTGGCCTGTAACGTCGCCCAGGCTCTGACTCTTCTTATCGGCTTGGTCTTCAAGGATGACAGCGGGCTTTCCGTGTTTCCCCTTGCGCCTGTCGAGGTCATGTGGATTATCATGATTACCTCCGGTCTTCCTGATATGGCTCTCGGGTTCGAAGTCGCTGCCCCGGATATCATGGACCGACCTCCGCAAGACGTAGGTTTCTCCGGGTCATTCCCTTTCATGCCCGTCGCAAGACACTAACCTAGTCTAGATGAAAATCGGCGTCTTCACCTGGGAGCTGATGCTCGATATGCTTGTCTATGGTGTCTGGACTGCTACTCTCTGCCTTGCGTCTTTCGTGCTCGTCATGTTTGGCTGGGGCAACGGCCAATTCGGTAGCAACTGCAACAACACATACTCGGAAGAGTGCGATACTGTGTTCCGCGCCCGCGCAACCTGCTTCGCGAGTTTGACCTGGTTCGCCCTCTTCCTCGCCTGGGAGATGGTCAACATGCGCCGCTCTTTCTTCCGCATGCAACCCAAGAGCACAAAGTACTTCACCCAGTGGTTCTGGGATACTTGGCGCAACAAGCTTCTCTTCTTCGCCATCCTCATCGGCTTCATCACCATCTTCCCCCTCACCTACATTCCTGTGCTCAACACCAAGGTGTTCAAGCACGCACCTATTACATGGGAGTGGGGCATCGTCTTCGTCGGCGCGGTCCTCTTCTTCATGGGCGTGGAGTCGTGGAAGTGGGCGAAGCGCGTCTACTTCCGTCGCGTGGCGCACAAGGCTCACGGCGGCACCAAGGACCTTGAGAGCCGTGTGTTTGGCCACTACTATACCATTGGCGGTGTTGCGCTTGACTCGTCGCCTACCCTTGGTAGCCGGACGATGACGAACGAGAAGGAAATGCGGGACAAGGGCTACGGGTACTCTAGCGGAGGCAGCAGGTGATTATGGGTAGGTGATGCACATTCTCGTTCATAGCGGAAGATTGCAAATTTGAGGAGAACAAAGTGTAGAAGACGAAGTGATGATTCAATGAGTTCATATTAGATTTTCATGGATAAAGATAGCCGGTTGACAACAACCAAGATTGAAAAGCATGTTTTTTTTTTAGTACGCCTGCCGCAAAGCACACGCGAGAAAAGCAGATTTGTAATTATTACTGAATAGATTACTATGAGACTATCAAACCTATTGATCACAGGTAGAGATGTAATGCTCCTGACGGTGAACGGACATCAAAACCACGGCACTTTCAACGGCTCCTAGTCATCGCTCGCGCATACAATCTTCTTCCTCCTATCATTGCCATACCCATGTTCGATATGACTACATGACTGTCAAGAACAGGACCTGAATACCGATCCACGCCACGAGCATCGACCACATGATGGAGGTAGATGAGCCCTTGGAGGTTACATATATGGTCCTGGTGGGCTTGACCGAAGAAGTAGTCCTCGTCGCCTTTGCTTGCTTCTTGTCCGAGATTGAACGGGTGGTGTCGCTATCAGCGGTCTTTGTAGTCGAGTTCTTTGCTGACGACGAGGATGAAGTGCATTTGGTGACCAGCCTCTCAACTGTCGCAGTGACGGTAGCAGTCTTATCTACGGCGGTTGCTTTGGCGTCGTTCAGCAGGACGCGGTAGTTCGACGCTTTTGCGTTGAGGGTAGACGCAGCTGCCTGCAGTGAAGACGACAGCGCGGCTTGGATTTTGGCGTAGCGGGGGACTCTGCGTGCGAGGGTGCATAAGGAGTCCTGAGCCGAGCTCTCCTCGGGCCTGCAGGGTCTGATTGGCGTGTTTGCCATCTTGAGAGCTGCTGCGGTAGGGGCCGGTGCTGCTGTGATCCCACGAGGAGAGGGGTTCTTCGCAGGCTCCTCGGGAGAAGTTGGCTCGATTTCCATCTTGGCAGTTTCCGTCGCCACGGGGAGAGCAGAAGCCTGAGATGGATCAGGAGTAGTAGTATTATACAGAGGAGGAAGGCCAAGCTTCTTCGCGAGGGCTGCCATCCGTTGCTTCTCCCGCTCCCTCTCCTGCAACCTCGCCTTCTTTCGCGCTGTCTTTTCGAGCTGATGGATGTTGGCCCATTCGTAGTAGGTGGGGAGGTGATCGCACGAGACCCTGCAGGCGCCCGTGTTGGAGACGTGAAGCCCGACGCGGATGCACTCCTCCTTGTAGCGCATACCGATGTTTTGGGCGTAGTTTTCGTAGTCTTTGTTGAGGGGGCTACATCTTTGCTTGTCTCCTCCGGCGATGGCGGAGGGTGTGAGGCTTAGGAGAGCCAGAAGGAGGGCGATAGGGGCTATCATGTTTGTTGTAATTTGAGGTTGCTCTTGAGGTGATTGTGCTCGAGATGAGGTTGGGAAGACTTTGGTATAGGCAGCTCCGCGTGAGGTCTAAAGATTATTAAAAGAGGAGAGGTTCATCGAGCAGAGGCAAAGAAAGGCGCTCTAGATTTAAATATGCAGGGTTTTGTGCGAATTCTTCACTCGAGGCTCCTTGATGGCTTACTCCGGTGTATGGTTCTCATCGCAAGGGTTCATGATGCCGGAGTTGACTTTTGCTCACAAGCGGCAAACATCAATCAAGGTACTTTGGCGTCCCGCGATGGACATTCCGAAATCCTTTATCTTGATCTCGCCAAGTTTCTCGAAGATGGACTCGTAGCCACACGAACAGTTGATTGTGGCATGAACAACAACCTCATCCATGTTCTCTTCTTGCAGCCACAAGGTCGAAGCATGTTAACTCTTGTCAGTCAAGGTAAGACTCTCACCGAAAACCTGACAAGGTCAGCGAGCGCTCCACCTCAGAGATTTCATCTTGTTGGGCAGACACCGTTGGTCAAGAGCGGATAGAGTTGTCGCACAGAACAGACTGTTGGCCACAGCTCCCCTAAACCTTGGACCAACCAGGACTTTGGCCGTTCCCCAATGGGGCATGTGAGCTATCGCATCAGCCGTGGGCCCTCTAGTCTCGGTGCTCCCTCCATCCCTCCGGAGTCCGGATAGAGTCTGTTCAGTCCCATTTAATTGACTCTTTTCTCATGAACCTGGTTCATCACTGCTCTCAAGGTCTTTCATCTTGTCTTTGTGCGGGAGCTAGCCACCGCGCCGGCTCAAAGTTGGGGTTCTTGAATGAACTCTGATCCTTAGCGCGTAAGGAGTAGGCAGAGATTTTGATCGCATTCTTTACCACCACATAGGTGACGAAACCTTGATGTTGCACTGATGTTGGCTTTGCTCCCATAACATCTTTCCATAAGGCTACAATTTCTACGTTGACCCAGTACTACACAGCCAAGCAGAAAGTGGCGCCGATGGAGCAGAGACAACGCAGACGGATTTCGTGAAATTAGTGTGCCCTGATTTTTTCCAATCTTCAACCCACTTCATGCTGCAAATGGCTCGCAGATCTCGCCGAGGGGCCGTCCGTCACCCACCAAACCCACCAAACCCACCGAGATCGTCCAGCCTCTCCCAATCTTCGCTGCCTTCTTTTCATTCCCAAGAAACGTTAACATCAAGCTTATCCGATATGGTGTAGTGGCCAACATGATGCCCTCTCATCACAGTGAGAGGTTAGGCATAGCCCCGAGTTCGATTCTCGGTTTCGGAAATATCATTCGTTTTGACCCTTTTGACAACTTCGCCGACGGTACGGTTCGCAGACAAACGATATGATTCACCATTCTAACCTTCAAACCGAATGCATGCAAAGGTGGCTTACTTTTGATCCTCTTGCTTCCTTGGCTTCCATTTGTTTCGTAATCGGAGACAAGGCAGCATTGACTAGGTAAGCCGAGGTTAATTTGGACTTTGGAGAAGCGATCTACCTATCCGTAGCTAGCTTCTCAGACGTTCTCCTTACCGTGTTCTGCATAGCCGGGAAAATACCCTCAAGCTTGGTGGGATTCCTCCGCACGCGTGACGTATTCAGTTCCCAGACACCTCCACTCCCGCAACCTTGAACGCTATTTAGCGGATCTTACCTGGTCCCCGAGCACATCTCTCCGTCCACATCACGGACTTTTCCCCCTCACCGTGAGTCCTTGACTGCTTGAAACCCGCGAACCCGGATTTCGGCGACGGGCAACCATTGAACCGCCGGAGCAGAGTTGTGGATACGACCTCAACTCTTCATTTCTTATATAGCATACCTTGAAACCGAGTAAATCATTACCTCATCATACACTACCCTTCTTTCAGTACCTTGCCTTACCTTTAACATCGTCGTCAACGAACAACATGGCGGCATTGGTTCCCGTTTTGGTAGCCGGCCTCGCCATCTTCGGAGCCTTCAACTATGCTCCAACAGTCAAGAGGTCAATCGCCCTTGCAGGAATCGGACGCGAGAAGCTAAACACCCCCGTGGCTCAAGCCGGAGACTTGATCTACATTGACGACACAATTCATTGCGAAGATATCCATTACCACGAACCAAGCGGGCTCCTCTTCACGGCTTGTGAAGACAATGAAGAGAACCGTGCCAAATGGTTCCCTGGCCTCGGAAACCTCAATGATCCACTCGTGGGAAGCAAACAAAAGGGCTCTATTCACGTCATTGATCCTAAGGTATGAACATGAGATGCCAATGAAAACTCATGCCTTGTGCATTTGACTTACTCGCTGAATTAGGATATGACCCAAAAAAGACTCAAGTTTGAGAACTTTGACTCGACCTATGTTACCCATGGCATCGATGTCATCACGGACCCCAAGAGGGCCGATGCAGTTTACATCTTCGCCGTCAACCATGTACCACACCCAGACTACCTAGCAACCAAGATTGGAAGCCAGGACTCTCAGCAAGTCACCCAAAAGTCTCAATCGCGCATTGAAATCTTTCACCACATCCTCGGATCATCCACCGCCAAGCACCTGCGAACCGTTATTCACCCGCTGGTCAAGACTCCCAACGACATCTTCATCAAAGACCCGTACTCATTCTATGTAACCAACGATCATTATTATGCCGACGGTGTCGGAAGACATGTCGAGGATATATGGCCAGGTGCAACCTGGACCGACACCATCTACGTTCACATCGAGGAGATATCATCTTTGGTTGCTACAGAAGGCATCAAGGCCGAGGTAGCTCTCTCGGGGATCCGCAACAATAACGGCCTAGGCCACAGTAAGAAGACCGGAGAAATCCTAGTTGTCAACTGCGCCGGCGGCGAAATGCTCATCGGCGAGCTATCTTCAGACCCGAAGAACACCACCATCAACATCATCGAGTCCGTCCAAGTGGACTCGTATATCGATAACCCCAGCTATTTTGATGACCCATATAAGACTGACGTCTTCGACGCTAGCGGCTTCGTTCTCCCTGGCCTTACGCGGCCTGTCGATATCCCGAAGCAAGTTCACAATACTACATCGGACATTGGGTCGATTGTGTGGTACGCCAAGCCAGCTGCGGGCAGCAACGGAGGCTATGAGAAGAGATTAGTATTCGAGGATGATGGCACTAGGGCCAGATCCGCAGCGGCGGCTGTCTTGGTCGCTATTGATCCGGCTCAAGAGAAGAGAGAAAGAAAGGCATGGCTCTTTGTCACTGGCTTCATGGCTGGCAGTGTTGTTGCCGTCAAGATTGATCTTTGAGGGCGCGACGGATGATCAAGGAGCACGCCCCTTGTTTACAGCACCCATTGAAGACTGAAGCAATGGGGCTAGTATCGATCGATTTGCATGGTTTGAGTCACTCGTTGGCACAGCTCAGGGGCGAGGATTTGCAGGGTCGGGGAACGTTGGCCGTATTTCAGGATTGAAAAGCGCAATGCCAAGCTTGGCAGACGACGATGAAGCATACTTGCATGATTTCTTTAGTTTTGTATTCTGCCCAATTTCCATACCCTACTCTGTATGTACCAGACAATGAATATTTACTTTGGCATGACTTGCTTTGTCAAAAACCTCTCCTCACTTGAGCTATGGATGCCGCCTCATGGAATAGGAATCCCCAGCCCGATAGACCTCCTGAATGAAGCGGTCCACGTCGCTGATGATACGGATCGCCTGGTTGACGCTCGGAGACGTAGGCTCGCCCATAGTACTCTGCCAGCCTTGTAGTAGCTGCTTCAAGTGGTCGCCAGCTCCCAACACTTCCGGCCCGATCATGTCTTTTAAAGCCGGGATACGGCACGCTGCGAGCAGAACAAGCATTGCACCAGCCATACTACAGCCCACGCATTAGTCATGATATCTCAATGCAGAACAGTCACGAGTGGTAAACTTACGAGAGGGAGCAGATCCACGTGTCGACCATGACTGTCTGCCCAAAGCCCCTCAGATTGAGGATATGGAGCAGGCAGGCATCCAGGCACGCCTTGCAGTTCTTCAGCGCATCTTGGCTGACCAGCAGCTCAGAGCTAGCTCCATTCCCACCAGCCATACCACTCAGCATCCACATCAGGTACGGTCGGTAAATCACACTCCTGCAGGTGAGATACCTCTGCCGCAGGAAACCGCCATGCTCCGTCGCGGTACCTTGGTTGTTTCCTAATTCGTTGAACCCGACACTGAATGCAAACGCCGGAGGAAGCACCTCTCGCCAGTCGTCGAGCTGGTGGTTCAGCTCCGCAACGACATAGGGGAAACGGGCGTGGTCGAGGGCAGCGCCAGTCCCGCGTGCGTAGAGGAGCTGATGGACGCGGTTGAGGAGGCGGCGCATGGAGATGCAGGCGAGGAAGTAGAGGGAAGATTGCTCCTCGACTTGAGAGTCTTTATGTGTGCTGTACTCTCCTGGGAGAGGCGTTGTAGACTCAATGCGGGCGACACCCGATTGTGGAAGCCCAGAGAGCTCTGCAAGATAGTCACTTGAGATTTGTTAGCTGCAGGCACGGCAACGTACTGGGTCACGGCTCGTACCTCTCAAGGATGTAACAAGACCAAAAGATCCTTCGGATTCGTTCTTGGTCCTCCGCGGACTCGGACTCTGGCGGGTAAGACAGAAGCAAAAGGCATTTTGCGGATGCTGCGTTGATATATTCCCACGCCTGCAAAGGCCGACGGAGGAAGGCAAAGTACATCCTGAAGTATCATGTTAGTGACTTTCTGTATTGAGAGACGATGCTCGATACTCACGCCGTGAAGAACAGGCAGTGGGTTGCAGTGCTTCCAACATTGGTATGCACCACATGCAGCTTCTTCAAGACACTGTCAAAGTACATGTCACCCATGGCCCTCTTGGAAGCCCTCCGTTTACGATCCTCCTCGCTCAAGGAAGACGTGCTCGCCAGCCCCGTAGTCACTAGGCCAACACACCCCAGCGCCATTGTGAGCAGCGCAAGACAGATAAGAATGCTGTCTCCCTCAGGAATGCCATCGGCGATTAGGTTGCGGACCTGCTCAAGCTGGTTGCGAGACATGGTCGGATACCAAAAGTTGATGGTGTGCTCAAACGATTCAATGATCTCGTCAATGTCCTCCGCAGTTACGTAGGGGTACACGGGTGTTGCACGCGTCTTTACTGCCGGCCGTGACTGTTCGAGGTGGAAGATGGGGACATATCCATCCCTCATATTCGGAAAGGCGTCAAAATGAGGCCATTGTAGCACAGATTCTGTGGTACTCGTGTGCATAGAGTCGAGCACGGCATTCTCAAAGTTGTTCTGATACTGCGGCTCCGAGATGGGGGTCCGTTGTGGGTGATGGATCTCGTTCAGAGGCGACCCGGAAAAGGAACCCCGCGAGGCGGATCGGAGGGCCGGAGAGACCACGGATGGACGGTGGTCGGCATACGGCGCCGTCCCCTTGAACACACCATCGTGAGATGGGTTCGGTGAAAAGTGGAATGTAGAGGAGACGGGACTGACGATGGTGGCCTTCATCTCATGAAGGAACTTCTCCACCCGGAGTACACCCTCAAGGATGAGGTCGCTCTTCCCGCGCCTAATGACGTGATGGTCAGAACTTAGACTCACAGCAAGAAAGCAAGTTTTCCTCCTACTCTCCTCGCGCCCCCGAGCTTGCGGAAGTCGGTGTTTTGCGCCGGGGATCACGGCTCCGGGAGGCGTGAGGAGACGAGTGTGGTTCTTTTGAGGGCCGGACTCCTTAACTTACGAATTAGCTTCGGACCCATAGGTGCATTCCTGATGCGACGCAGAGCAGGATGCGCATGGCGTGTTGCCATTGCATCTGTGCAGTGAGGTCTCGTTAATCTTGATGCTGTCCCGAGAGACTGGTTCGGTCTGGGCCTGGGTTGCTTGGCCGGCTTGTCTTGGTTCCACGTACCTGATCTTCCTTGCGCGGCATGTGTCGCACTGAAGTATGCGATGCGTTGTCAGCGATGAGCTTTTCGGGGTTTCGGCTGGGTAGCCGGCCAGAACATGTGGGGAGAGAAGAGTTTAAGCTTAGAGAGATGACACTCGGAAATGAGAGAAGATCTTCGCGATGGCGGAACGAAAGCAGTTAAGCGTGCAGTGTTTTTGGTAGTCGCAGTGTTCGTGAAGAACTCTTTTGGCGGTTCAATGTGACAGTGAAATGATAGACACGAGTTGTCACTTTGTCCTACGCCAAAACGATACTTACGAAAGAGGTGAACTGTGTTGCTTGCAGGATTCTAAGAAAATGCAATTCACATACCGCATGACTTGTCCTCAACCTCTTCCTCGACGGCTCATTGATCGTGTCATTATCCAGTGACTCCATCGCAACTGCTGGGTGGCATGGCGTAGCAACAGCGTCCGTAACAGCAAGAAAGCCTGGTTCCGCAGTGAAGGGGATCCTCGATCCGAAGCGGACCGAGTCGGAGCAGAGTTTGGGGGCAGTGGACTGGAGAAAAAAAAGAATGGACGGCACAAGGGGGTCAAAGGAGGAATCCCAGCAGCAGGACATGCATATATGCACCCACGTGTAGTGCGGGGGAAGGGCGATGATGTGGAGAAGGGGGTGAGTTCATTAGGAAGAATTTGGAGAAACGTAGACGGGGGGCTTGGCTAGGAAGGGGAAAAGCTTGTGGGATCATGAGATGGTGGGATGCCGGGTAAAAATTGGACTCGGTCTAGGATCTCTATGGCTTCCCGTGGTTTCGCTCCGTGCAGCCCCGGCACGTCTATGAGGGGAGCCCACAAGGTCCCAGGCGGGGGAACATCAACATCGCTTGGGTCAAAGACGGACCTATGTCCCATCGTGGCATTCGTCTATTACGAGTTGGAGAGAAGCACATGTGACGATGTGACAGGTGACTCTCAACTCCTTCTAAGCTGTGCCGCTTTGCCAGTTTTCTGTAGGGATACAATAGGCGATTAAGCTTTTCCTTCATTCCTTCAGACGTGACCGCGGTACGAACACTTAAGTAAGACTGTTGGTTGGGTTCGCCTGATGTGGCTGTTCATAGAACATGGCGCCGTTAGCCCATTTTCTTAGTCCAAACGGTGCCGCCCCAATCATAGTGAAGGACGCTTTTTTGCACGAAGTACCATCAACAGACAGACGAATCGACTGTCTCCATGAACACTGGTTTTAATGTTGCGCTTCGCACATAATGGAACATTCACATCGCAGATCATCTGAACGTGTATCAGAAACATCTTGATTAGAGTCTTTAGACAGCGAGATAGACGGCAAATGCAGGTGAATCCTAGCTCTAGACCTGGTGTTCAGACCGGTATCGCCCCACAAATGCCGCTCAAGCCCGGCCCGGTACAGATATCTACTAGACATACGCCACCTTTTCGTCCTGGCCGACCTGCATAGTCTTCAGGACAGTCTCGGCCGAACGAGGCTCCAAGCTCTTCTTGACAGGGTTCGGGGCACTGAAGACCTCCTCCAACTCCTCAAGCGTGCGATCCTTGGTCTCGGGCCAAAAGAAGTACTGGTAGTCAATCAGCGGAGTTCTGGCATATCCAGTTAGGGACCAGTGCGAAACTTACAATGATGACTGCTTCAAAGAGGTCCCAGAAGATGAAGACAATGTAGAAGTAGTACTTGATGTTGAGGAAAGCCGGTCCACTGGCGTACTGGATAACGGTGCTTCCGACAGCACTGGCAAAGTTACCGACTGCAGTACCCTTGGCGCGAGTGGAGGTGCTGAGGGTCTCGGCAATGTACATGCTCTGAAGAGGAGTCCAGCCGAAGCTGAAGACGATGCCGAAGATGTAGATGAAGGCGATGGTTGTGTTGGCAGCAGCAACGTTGTTAGCATCGTCTGTTGCCAATTTGGAAGTTCCCGTGATGATTGCGAAGCAGAACGAGCAGAAGATGATGGAGTAAATCAGGAGGGGTCGGCGACCGACAACATCCGTCATACGAGCTCCGACGAGAGATGCGAAGAAGCACAGAATCGGGTTGATCGCATTCAATGCCAAGACACGCTTCTCGTCTGTAATGCCGGCGTTCTTCAGTACAACGGTCTAGAATGATGTTAGTCATTTCCAAGTAATGGAAAGAGAGGGAGAACGGAATTACCAAGTAGTAAGAACTCAAGCTGTTACCACTGATCTGGCCGAAGAAGGCCATGCCCAACACGCAGATGAGGCGGCGACGGGCGGAGTGGGTGCTCCAGAGCTCACTGTAATCATACCAAGACTTATCCGATGCGTCTGTGCTGATTTGAGATACCATCTCCTTCAGCTGAAGCTGGACAATAGGGTGGTCGATAGAGCCCTCGCCATGGTACTTGGCAAGGACTTTCGCGGCTTCTTCGTGTTTGTCGTTCGCCATGAGCCATCGCGGAGATTCGGGGATGAAGAAGACGCCAACGCAAACGATACCAGAGGTAACCCTGCAAAGAAATGTGTTAGTGCCTTGAGAAGGATTACACGAAGAATTATTTTTTTGTTGAAGAGACTCACATCTGAAGCCAAATGGGCAGGCGCCAAGCACTGGTGCCCTCACCGCCATCGATGTAGGCGCACCCATAGATAACCCAGGAAGCTATGATTGAGCCTGTATGTAATAATTAGACCTGGAGTAAGAGAATGTGCAAGCGACCAAGATAGACATACCTATGTACCAAGTGCAGTTGTAGATACCAGTGATAGTTCCTCGCCATGCCGGGTGTGCCATCTCAGAGACCTCAACAGATGACATGTTAGTTGACATGCACAACTAAGACAGACGCGATCCATCAGACTTACATAGGTCGGAGCAGAAACGCAGCAGAAACTGACACCAAATCCGAGAACGAATCGTCCAGCAAGGAATTGGCCAGAGCTGAGAACCATTAGCAACCGGTATGCGACCATAGAAGTAAAGGTCTTCGTACGTTTTGGTTGTGGCCTGAACACAAGTGCCGATAATGACAATGGCAGCCCCGATAAACATGCCCCATCGGCGACCGAGGAAGTCGTTTGCAGGTCCGGTGAAGAAGACGGCGGCGACACTTCCGATGTTGTACATGGCGAAGATGATTCCGGTGCTCTCGTCAACAGTTTCCCTGACGGATTCGCGTCAGTCTTGTCATCAAATGCTTGGTGAGTTTTGTTTTCCGGGTGACTTACTTGTGGAAGTAGTTCAAGTAGGACTTCAATCCATTCAAACCTCCCATCTTTAAAGGTGCTTCGTTAGATGATGATGATGGTGCTCAGATTCTGGGTTTACTTACCAAGGAACCATCGTAACCGTTGAGAGCTCCATTGAGGTAAGCTGTCGGAATTGTTGTTAGTAGGCCAATACTAATAAGAAACAACAAGGTACGAACCAATAAAGAGGACGGCGTAGAGTCGGAACATGTGCGGCGTCCAGGGCGAATAGGCGCCAGATTGCGTCTGATGGGCAATGTGGACGGCAGTGTCGATCTCGGCAGCAGCATCGTCACGGCGCTCTTCGGCGTGGCCCTCGACCGTGGGGTCTGTCTTCTCGTCGGACATGGTGGAGGATGGACTGCAGACAAGCAATACAGCTCGGGAGGGGTGGACCAAGAATTCAGGAACAGTGGAACGGTGGAGAGATGGAGGTCTTGGAAGCCTTAGAAGGGTATCATCGATGGAGACGAAAGAATGGAGAGGCGATAACACGGCCGTCTTAAATGTTCTGACTGCAGACTCTCAGGCTTCTCTGTAGCCCATCAGAAGACAAAATCTTCTCCCCGCATTCGGGCCATCATACCATCCAAACGAAGGTCCCAGGAGGCAGAAAATACGAAAGAACCTGGGGTGACATGACGGACCATCAGCCATGAGCCAACGCCACGGGCGCGCTTGCAGTTTTCAGTCAACGTTAGCCGGGGTCTGGACAATGTCAATCCGGGGTAACAGACACAGAACAACCTTCCGTCCATCCAAGAGATGGGGCCCATGGGGGAGCAGACGAAAGGGTGGAAATGGCTGGCAGGGTTGTCAGACGTTGCATCAACTTAGACCGGCTTGTATCCGGATGGAGGTGCGGGGCCGGCCCCGACTTCCCCGGACCCAATCAGAACCACACGGGGCTGGGGGAGACTATCCCTCTTGCGTCCTCGCGGTGCGGAGTTGCCAGGAGTTGCCGGGGCTCTTGTAGGACAAGAGTGAAGAGTCTCTCTGGCAAAAGAAGTCGAAGGAACGCCAGGATAGGATGGCCTCGGGGTCGTACTACACCGACACCACCTGACTCGGAGCTACCCCGAAACTGCTCCAGTCTTTCTGCCCCACGCTCCCTCGTCATATGGCGGGACAAACTTGAGTGAGCTTCACGAGAGGGAACGGGTGCTCGCAGTCTGCAGATTATTTCTGGCGTTTCCCTCGGCCTTGCGTCCGACGTGTTACTTCGCGTGGAGAAAGTGAGGACGAATAAATAACGACTCAACCTTGGTAGCTAGCAAACTGATTGTACCCTCTTGCTTCTCTCTCTTCACATTCCTTCTCCCCTCTCTCCTTCCACCCCAAATCCGTGTCTCAGTCTATCGTTACCCCTCATCCAAACCGCCACGATGGCCTCTCAAAGTTTGTCTCTCCAGGCCGAGGAGGGAGTTCACGACTACGAGAACCCCTCCGTCTTCAGGCGCAACACCCTTCCTCCGCGCGCATACTTCATCCCAGAGACGTCCATCCTTCTCAATGGCGTTTGGGACTTCCACATGGCCGGCACTCCCGAGGAGGCGCCTTTGCCGGAAGACAAGGAGGACGAATGGGGCACCATCAACGTCCCTGGCCATTGGCAGCTTCAGGGACACGGCTTTCCGTGGTATACCAACACACAGTTCCCTATCCCAGTGAACCCACCATACGTTCCCAGCGAGAACCCCACGGGCACCTACAGACGAACATTCCACGTCCCTTCCACGTGGGATGAGAAGTCGCAATTGCGCCTCAGATTCGATGGCGTTGACTCCGGATACCACATCTGGGTCAATGGCACGCTCATTGGCTTCGCTCAGGGCTCGCGGAACGCGTCCGAGTTTGACGTCACAAGCATCCTCAAGAGGGATGGACCCAATGAGCTGTTTGTGAGAGTGTACCAGTGGTCCGATGCAACTTACATCGAAGACCAAGATCAATGGTGGCTTTCGGGTGAGTGGTCGCTTCGTTCGTCAACCTGCTTGAATAATCATCTAACGAGCTAATCACAGGTATCTTCCGCGATGTCACTCTCCTCGCCGTACCCGAGCAAACAAGAATCGAGGACTGGTTCCTCCGCACTGATCTCGACGAGAAGTACGAAGACGCGACTCTCCTGGCGACGGTCGACGTCAAGACCGCCGAGAAGAGCACCGTCAAGCTCACTCTCAGCGAGCTAGGCAAGAACGGCGGTGCCGTCATTGCGACCAAGGAGGCAGAGGTCACTGTCGACAACACCAAGGTTGACATCAGCATCCCCGTTACCAACCCAAAGAAGTGGACTGCCGAGACCCCTTACCTCTACCGGGTTGACATCACCCTGGGCTCCCATGCTGTCTACCAAAACATTGGTTTCCGCAAAGTTGAGCTCAAGAACGGTCTGATTTCCGTCAACGGTACCCCAATCCGCATCAGAGGTGTCAACAGACACGAACACCACAACAAGTTTGGCCGCGCCGTGCCCATCGAGTACGCCAAGCGCGACCTGCTCATCATGAAGAACCACAACATCAACTCTCTGCGATGCTCGCACTACCCGCCCGACCCCCGAGTCTTCCAGCTTGCGGACGAACTCGGCTTGTGGGTCATGGACGAGGCCGATCTCGAGTGCCACGGCTTCTACGATGCTGTTGCACGCCCTCAGGATGTCGACGAGGCGTCAGACTACGAGGCGCGCAAGGCCATTACCTTCCCCCTTGCTGGGAAGTACACCAGCGAGAACCCTGAGTGGCGTGAGGCCTACCTCGACCGCATGGTTCAGCTGGTTCAGCGCGACAAGAACCACACCAGTATCATCATGTGGTCGCTTGGTAACGAAGCCTTCTACGGTGAGAACCACAAAGCCATGTACGAGTACGCCAAGAACTTCGACTCTGGTCGCCCGGTCCACTACGAAGGCGATGTCAAGGCCGAGACTGCGGATATGTACTCTTACATGTATCCTCCCATCGACCGCCTCACCAAGCTGGTTGAGACTGAGGGTGTCAAGGAGGACGGCAGCTACGAGAAGCCTGTTGTTCTCTGCGAGTACGGTCACGCCATGGGCAACGGTCCTGGTGGTCTCGATGACTACATTGAGGTCTTTGAAAAGTTCCCTCGTCTTCAGGGCGGCTACATCTGGGAGTGGGCGAACCACGGTATCTGGAAGGAGGATGCCGATGGCAAGGGCTACTATGCCTACGGAGGAGACTTTGGCGAGCGTCCCCACGACGGCACCTTTGTCATGGATGGTCTTCTTCACAGCACCCACGACCCTACTCCCGGTTTGATCGAGCTGAAGAAGGCCTACCAGCCCCTTCAGCTGTCAGTTGAGGGCAACCAGCTTGTCATCAAGAACAAGTACGACTTTGTTGGCGTTGACCACCTTTCCTCCACCTACAAGGTCGAGGAACTCGGCGAAAAGTAAGTCATTCTGGAGGAAGCTCTACTGATCTAGAGAAGCATGATTACTGACAATTTGTAACACAGCTCCGCTCTCGTCGCTGCCGGAAACCTCGAAATCCCCAAGATCGCCGCCGGCGAGACCGTCAAGGTCGACCTGCCCTCGAGCCTCGCGAAGATTAAGTCCGACAAGGAGGTCTACATCACCGTGACCTTCAGTCTCAAGGACTCCACAAACTGGGCCGAGCCCTCGCACGAGATCGCTTGGATCCAGCACAAGCTGTCCGGTGTTGCGGCAGCCTCTAAGCTGCTTAACAGCACCCTCACCTCCAAGTTGCAGGTTCAAAAGTCTCGTGCCAAGGCCACCGTCTCAGGCTCCGACTTTGCCATCACCTTTGATACCGCCCGCGGATACATCACATCTTGGACGGCTGCCGGAGTGCCTCTTCTCGTGAAGGACGAAGCCACTGGCGCGGCCATTATCCCCAACTTCTGGCGCGCCCCTACCGACAACGACAACCCCAATGATGCCCCCTACTGGGTTCGTTTCGGTGTTGACGCTTTTGACAGCTTCCTTCGATCATTCAAGATCAATGAGTCGACCGATAAGGTTGAGGTCATCACAACTACCTACCTCTCCCCTCGCGTCCTCGACTGGGGCTGGGAGACCACCACTACTTACACCATTGATGCCACCGGTCGCCTCACCGTCGCCGTTGACCTGAAGCCCCGCGGCATCAAACCCACCCACATCCCCCGCGTGGGCCTGAACCTGCGCCTGCACAAGTCGCTCAACAACGTCAAGTACCTCGCGCTCGGCCCCGGCGAGTCCTACCCAGATAAGAAGTCCAGTCAACACCTCGGCGTCTTCAGTGCCACCGTGCCGGAGTTGCACCAGCACTACGAGGTACCCCAAGAAGGCGGCAACCATCTGGAAACCCGCTACGTCAAGCTCACCGAGGACCACGGCCGCGGCCTTCGCGCCACGCCGGCTGACGCTGCTGTCTGGTCTGAGGAGGAGTGGCGCCAGTTCAGCTTCCAGGTCAGTCGCTACACTTCCGAGACGGTGCACAAGGCCGCGCACCCGTGCGATCTCGTTGAGGAGGATGCGACGCTTCTGCGTCTCGATGCCCGTGTTGCTGGTGTTGGTACTGCCGCTTGTGGTCCTAGTGTCAGGGAGGACTTGAAGGTGCATGTCGGAGAGTTCAAGTTTGGATTCGTTTTGGAAAGAGTTGGATTTTAATGACTTTGGGTTACGACGAAATGGTTACACTGGTGTCCTGAGACTTGGACACATGTCACGGACAGCTAGAGCTAGAATTGGAATGAATGATTATGACTTTAACAGCCTATTGCAAAGCCTCTCAAAATCGTAAAATGCTACCAATTTTGAAAACGCAACACACCTGTCTCTCAGATTGATCGAGCGCGCTCCGAGGATCCTGGTGGGGGTAGGCCTCGTGCTGGTGGCATGCCTGGGCGGTACAATAGAAACTTTTGGCCCACATCAACCACAATCGGCCGGTTGGCCCAATGGCAAGGCGTCTGACTACGACTAAGCGGGTCCCCGACTTAGCATGTTATCAGGAGATTCTGGGTTCGACCCCCAGGCTGGTCAGTCTTTTTGACTTCCCTCATGTCCCCTTCATTTTTGTTTCTGCAAGTCAAGTTGGGTAGGAATTCGGATTTCTGCTTGTCTTTGGCGCCCATCGGTAAGTTTTCATTAGAAACTACTGCTTTTTAGCCGGGAAACGATCTAGACTTGTGGTCGAATTCAATAAGCGCCTATGTCATGTTCTCTTGAGGTTCTTCCTCATTTGACTTGTCATCCCGTTGATTCCATGCAGAGGTCATCTTATAGCTAATCTCTATCCTGAATCAAGATGGCGCAATCAACAGAAGCTGAAGAGCAAAGTTCTGAGCTCGCCTGCTGTTCGTCAGCTCGGACTCAAGTCTTTAGTGATTCGACTGAACAGCGGGGATGTTACGACGCTGACCGGCGATCGACATTACTGCAGGTGGCATTAGACTTACATTCCTGGACTTAGTATACC